AAAGAGCAACAGGCTCTTACCATCTCAGAAAATTAGAGGCTAACACTAGATTTTGCCTTGAGAGATGGCAAATTCAGAAAATTGAGGGCTAAAAGTAGAGGCAGCAAATTCAGAATGCTGGGCACTGCTAAGATTGGATGGACAGTGCAAGCAGATGCATACCAAAATGACTCATCAGGGAGAGAGAACAGGTCAAAACACAGTCAGCAGTACTCCATAATGCTGCCTGAGATCTGGAACTGTTACAAATCCTAGCAATCATCAGGTACAGAAAGACAAAGGTTGCTGTATGTGTGACTGTACTCCTTCCAAACTGACCAGGGCTCCTGGGACAGAAGACTGCATCCATCAAAAGCCAAGCTTCCTAGAGAAGGCTCTGGGGCCACATCTTATAACACAGAGAAAACCATGGACACACAGTGTCTCCAGACACTTCTCTCTCTCTCTGCTACAACACATTTCGACATAGAACTATCTGGATTTTTGCTGCTTAATGTTATAATAAATACTACTTTCTGTTAATATCCCAGATATATCCAGAATAACAATGCTTAGTCTTCCTGCGGTACCAGTAGCTGAGTGCTGTGAGTATCCCAAATTTTCAAATTGCATTTTCTTTCTTCAACTTCCAGGGAACACAAAGAATACTTGAGATAATAAAAACAGTGAAAAATCAGTCATACCTGGCAAGGAATTGCTGCACCCCATTCCTGCTGGACAATATTGCAAACCCCAAGTAGTGCTGACTCTAAGCAGGTTTTGTCATAATCATCCATATTACTTAGGGCTTCCTGTAAAGGCAAACAAATGATTGGTCATTGCTGAGTAAAATATCTCTAATGGGAAACCTAAAAAGTTATTCCCAGCTCTCTACTAAGTCAGAATTTTTGCCTTGGTTTGTAACACAGCTGCACTGCAAAACAATACAAAGTGCTGTGTTCTTACACACGACCTGCACAGTTAAAAAAGAAACAGTGAGCAATACCTTGAGAGAACTATGATGGCTGACTTTGAAGGAACTAATAATTGTGAACACAGGTCTTAGGGAGAAAATAAAAAGCCTCACAGAAACAGGACAGTTGGAAACTGAAGCGATGTCTAACAAAGTATTTATTTCCAATTCTATTCCAACATTTAAGGAACAATAACTGCTTGCATTCTGGAAAACCATTACAATGAAAAAAACTCCAAACACAATGCAAACCACCCGTTATCTCACAAAACGAGCTTTCTTTCTTTTCTGCACAAGGCCTCATTAATGAGACCATGAAGACATGACACTTCAGAGTACAAAGCGTACTGGCCTCACCAAACAGCCCTAAGGAATCTAGCTCTATAAATCCTCCCAGGAGTCGCAACAACTCTAACTTCTAAGAGATCCAGAAAGCAGGCGACAGAGCTTGTCTAACACTCTAGTGGAGAGAAACAGAAATCACAACTCCTATCACCGTTCTGTTTCTATAACCACAAATAGGCTTTTCTTCTTAAAATGAAAACTTCACATTGAACACAACAGCACAAGAAGAGTGCAGCTGTAAAACGTGCTGCCTTGTGGCAGCAATCTACCACTTCTTATTGATAGTATACACAGTAACCAGGTATGTATCATTTTGAGCAGACTCAGAGACATCTGGTGCCTCACAGCATTCATACAAAACGTCCCTCTCAGGCTCCTTCCACAGTGCCCCTACTGCCTCTCACATCTTCCCAGCCTGAAATCACTTTCTCCTCTTTCTCACTCATTTCACCTTACCGTTACTTACTCATTTCACATACTGTTCAAAGCATCTTCACTCTACAAAATCACCTGACTCAAAAACATTTCAGATGTTCCTGTCTGCTGCCTCCTATATCAAGAGTAAATCAACAAGTACAGAGGAAAGCATGAATGTCACAGAACCACTGCTGTATACACAAGCTTCCTAAGGCAGCCCTCTCCTCCGGGTTTTCTCCATCCCCGCTTTTAACTTAATTAACCACGCTTGAAACATCAAACCTGCAAAGGCATAACTTGTAAAATAATGAGCATTTTATCTTCATTTTAAGGATAGGTGAAAGCAAACAAGGATAAAACACTCCATTAAGACACCGTGGACAGGACAGTACAAAATCACATCATTCCACTGTAATTCTGAAACAACACCGACGACTGATTGCTCAGGTTCCACAAACCCTACCTGCAGCGTGTTGTAATCTCTGGTGAAGGGCACCATCAGCTCCCAAAGTGACGAGAACACCACGAGGGCTGTGAACTCCAGCTTGTAGTTGGTGGCCATGTGCTCGAACAGCATGGTCAGGCCGTGCACTGCCAGGTGCTTTCGCTGGTACTCCTCAGAGCCCTCCACCGACACGGGCCGAGTCATGGAGAGCGACACATCCATCACCACCACCGTCGGCATGATGAGCCGTTCTGCTCAGCCACCACAGCACAAAACAGAGATTCACTGAGAGAAGGGAGAAAAAGACCACAGACGGTTACTGGAACGCAGCCGCAATGGCACACGTTGCCCTGGCCTTGTCAGGATGGCCCCATACCCGCCCTCTCCTCTGAAGAAAGGAAAGCTACAGCAGTTTTACCCCCAAAACGCGGGTTTCGCACAAACTAAACCAGCAGATGAACGGGAAGCACACGGTCCGGGTGGCTGCGAGGCCCTGCAAGCGGTGTGCTAAGCCTGGGGGGCAGCAGGGGCAGCCCGCGGCCGGGGACAACCCCAGCCCCCAGCAGGCTCTCTCCACACAGCCCACCCGCTCCCAACCCGGCTATCTGGCGGGGCTGAGAGGGCAGCGCGGCCGCCCTCCCCGCAGCACCGTGAGTCACAGCGGCGCTCACCGCAGCGCGCCGGGCCGCCATGGGTCCGCCGCGATAAGCGTCCCCCGGAACGGCGGAGCGCGGCGGGAAGGGGCCGGGCTGCACGGCCGCTCCTCACGGCTCCCAGCCGGCTCCTCGCACGCCTCAAGCGGTGGAGAGGAAGGCCGGGCGCAGCCCGCAGCCCCTTCGGGACCCGACGGTGGTCAGTGGGTTCCAGTCCCGCACTTGTCGAACCCAGCAGCAAAGCAATCCCACAAACACCTCACCGTTAATTCCTACAAATCCCGCAGCCCCGTGTTTGAAACGTTACCAGCCCCACTCCTCTCGTGGCAAACAAAGCGAGGTGTTCAGTGTCCCAAGAAAGGCCTCAGCACAGCTCGCTCTGAGGAGGAACTGCAGGGTCAGCACCCAAACACACAGCCCAAAAGAATCGTATGCTGCTGCCTGGAGGAGATCTGCAAGCACACGCAAAGCCCAACAGAGACAGGGAAGGTGAGGAAGGGAAAAGCATGCTCTAAAGAGATGTTGGTGAGACAAGCAGGGCAAGAAGACATGGCCCCTCATACCAAGGGATTGCAGAGGTGGAGGCACCATGAGGAAGAGCTGTTCCCTCGCCAGACGTCAGAAGGTCGATGGGATCACACTGGGCCCAACTCATCGCAATGCTGTTTGAAACACTTGTCTGAGTTCCGTACTGCTAACAGCTCAGGTCCAAAAGGGACTGCAGACACTCATGTCGGGCCCTTATGGAGAGAAACCGCAAGTGGATACTTCTGTGGGACTAAAGCAGATTGAACAGAAATGTGCTTTCAGAATTCAAACGCGGTCAGAAGGAACTAAAACCAGAACTATGCGCAGAAATGGAGCATTCCCAGTACTGAGGATGAGAACTGTTTGTGTAGGTCTCCCACAAGTGCCCAAGGAACAGCCAGCACCTCCTGGTGGCTTCACAGTGAACTTCAGGGAAGATTAGAAAGCCCTGCTGCAGCACGTGTTACAGGTGGCAAAATGGATCAAAGAAGTGACCAAAACCTTAAACGCACTCATCCAGAAGCTTTTTTCCCCCTAAAAAAAAAAAAAAACAACAAAAAACCTTCATCAAATACATTGATTGCAGAAAGTAACCTGCAATAAGGACTTGTGCAGCTCAACATAATTTAAGTGCTGGTTTCAGTAGTCCTCTCCAAGAAGAATTCCCCAATAAACATGAATAAATAAGTGCAATAGGAGGAGAAAATAACCAAGGGGAAAGAAGCAGCCATAGGAACATGGCCCACTAGGAGTCCTGTAAGCAGCATATGGTGCCTGAGCTGCACCAGAAACTCAAGACATTTGGCACAATTGGAATAATAGTATCTTCATCAGTAAATCAGGAACCATCTATAATTTGATGCCAGTACTGTGGAAGAGTACTGCAACGATTAAAAAAGATAGCTGTGTATAGAGAATAGGTTATGAAAAAAAGCATCCCCTGCGCTCAGGGACCTCCTTCTTCCATTCCAGAAAATACAGAGTAAGGATGAGGTATCAGTGACATCTGTTGCAAAGTCTGAGTGTACTGCTGCTGTTCAGAAAACAGCTTGCTTCTCTGCGTTTTCCAGTTCCCCTGCAATAAATGTGCTGATTGGAGCTATATGACCATGAAGTCTTTGGCAAGGAGCACGACTGTGCCAGCAAAAGTGGCCTCAGCAGAACTGCTCGTCCAGCCTGTCAGAGCAAAGCTGTGTGCAAGTTGTCTTGAAGCAACTACTGCAGCACACGAAGGAGCAGGGTGAATTATCCAAGCAGTGGCCTGCTCCTGTACGTAGCTAATGGTACATACCTCAGAGTTGATGCTTTTATATTATAGTTTGTAATGGAAATAAGCACCTGCCCTCATACTGAGAATAATCTGAAGTAGTAGACGAAGATACTGGCTTCAGATATAGATCCAAATCTATACAATACTCCTTAATCTTCTTAGAGACTGGAGGTATTAAAGTGGATTGGCTACTCCTCCACTAATATGTCCTTCACACCTGACCCCCCTCACCACTCTGCTAGCAGAGGCACAGTGAAAATGGGATCATTTTCATCTGCCTCTCTCTGCACCAACATCTCCCAATGTTAAGTGACAAGAAAGTTTCCAGAATTCCATTCAACTGCTGGTATTCCTCATCTTCTTGGACAGCATCTCTGGAAGGTAAGCCATGGAGGTCTGTAGGATTGCTTGAGATCTTTTTGACTGAGACAGTCCAAACAGTGAGAAAAGAGCTGACTGGGAGTTGACCTGTAGGAGACAATATAGTTCAAAAACAAAGTGCTTTATCCACAAGGCTGATGGTCAGATACTGCTGAAAGGCTGGAGAGCTCTTAACAGTTCATCCTACCTTTGGTTATAGTCTTTGAAGAAGGTTTAAACAGCATTCACAAGTCTTCCCTTCTCTGTGCGTCTTTCTTTTCACTCTTCCATTTTATTTATGGAAGGTTACTCTGTATCAATGCTCAATTTGTGGTGAATACTGTATTACATAACTCTGCAATATGCACGTTAATGTATTTTTTGCATATCAAAAGCAAAGCTTATGTGATCTATTTATCTAGATACTCCCATGACCCTCAATTACTATTGCCTTAGTGATCCTCCCTATTTAAAAGAAGATAATAATGCCTGTCTTGCAAGAAATTTAGGCTGATTACTTCACTGAGTGTTATGCAAGAGGGTAAGTGAGAACTGATTTGCATGAAAAGCTTTCCTGAGAATGGCTTACAAAACTGCGATTCACATCCAGCTGAAGGATAACAACATTACCACTCTAGGGAAAAAAAAATAATCTGTGAAGAGTGAAATTCTAAGGTAAAAAATCAAAGCAGTGCTGAAGGGTAAATTCCGTCCACCCCTCAGTCACTGCCTCCGTACTATCACAGATCTAGGCTCTATCACTAGCATTTATAATTTGTCTCTTTCAAAATGCTGTTCAAATAATTATGCAAGATATGCTAATTATCCCCTAATAAAAGGTATGATTATAATTCCACTTTGCCAGTTCTGCCTCTACAGAAGGGCTCGAAAAGATGTAGTCATAGAAACAACATGAATGCACAGCACTCTGAGTATTACTAGAACCAAGCCTTCCTCTTGCTCTCTTCCAACTGGAAGAGAAAAGCTCACAATTTGCTTGGTTTGTGGGAGTGCAAGTCTGGAGAGCCAGAGAGCAGCATAACTGGGAAGTAGCAAACAGTCTTCATCCACCTGTGGAGGTTACTGAGGTGAATAACTGGTCTGTTTGGTAGGAAGTTTTACAGCATAGGCTCATCTTCAGAGCTTCTTCCTTTCTGGCAATTTAGAGTACAAGTAGGCTCCTTAACAGAAGCCTTATCCTCCCTCCTGCAGAAAGTTCATCCGATTATCAGCATTACAGAATTACCAGTGATTCCACTGAAAACACTAACCTTAATAGCTGCTGGATGTGATCATTAGGTGGAATCAGAATTCAGCTCAGATTGGACAATCTCAGCCTTTATTAAGCTAAGCCTATGTTTATTAATCAACATAGCCTCCCATCATAAAAAAAATGAAAAAACAGAAGCCTGAAGTTAGAGTTGAGATTACTTGAATTGAATCCCATTTCCATTTACAGAAAAACAGAAAATCACTCTGCGAGATAATGATGGGAAGTTGCAGTTCTTGTTCGTTTTTTTTTAAATGCTAGATCTTCCTTTACAGGGTTCTACACTTCATATCACCCAGTTTCACTCCTGATGCTTAAGATCAGTTAGAAGCTCCAATGGTGGCTATAAGGGCAAGCTGCTGATCAAGAGAAGTCTTCAGTGGCTCTGGACACGGATCTGATTTTTGAACCTTTAGGAAATGCATTTACCACGGAGAAGACGGCTACAACGGAACCGAATCTTTTTCTTCCTTGCCACAGTGTCCCTCCTCTCTGTCTATCAGCTCCAGTTCAGCCCCTCTGCCATTCCAGCACTTCTCACTGCACACCAACACGAGGACCCTGTGAAAGTGACCTCCAGGGAGCCTTCCCGCAACAAGACTTCCAAAACCAGCAATGTCACAGCAGCACCCAAAATAAGGCACTGTGTGTATATTGATCCTGAGCCAACTGTGCCCATCGCCGCAGCAGAGGATACAACACAGCGAGAAAACGTCAGTGAAAGCTACCCAGATGAAAAGCCCGTGTATGAATCCAAAGGAGAATATCCCCAGGACCTATTCAGTGTGGAAGAACGGAGGCAAGGGTGGGTTGTACTTCACATCTTTGGCATGACGTATGTATTTGTGGCCTTGGCCATAGTGTGTGATGAGTATTTTGTCCCTGCTTTGGGAGTGATCACAGAGAAGTTGCAGATCTCTGAAGACGTGGCTGGAGCCACCTTCATGGCAGCAGGTGGATCCGCACCAGAACTCTTCACCTCCCTCATAGGTGTCTTCATCTCACACAGCAATGTGGGCATCGGTACCATTGTGGGCTCAGCGGTGTTTAATATCCTCTTTGTCATTGGCACCTGTGCCCTCTTCTCAAGGGAGATACTACACCTGACATGGTGGCCTTTATTTAGAGACATCTCATTCTACATTGTAGACTTACTGATGCTCATCCTGTTTTTCCTAGACAGTGTCATTGATTGGTGGGAAAGCCTCCTTTTACTGACTGCCTATGCCACATATGTGTTCACCATGAAACACAACGTGTCTCTAGAGCAATGGGTGAAGGAGGAGCTGAGCAAGAAGCTAAATGCTGTGCAGGCAGCATCAGCAGAGCATATGCGAAAGGTTGGTGTCCTTATTGTTCAAAGGGCAAGTTGGAAATAATTAATCCTATCATAAATCACAAAAAAACCAGACTGCATCTTCTTCACAAAGTGCATACTCAAGTCCTCAGGATGTAGACACTGGCTAATAATTATCATATAAAATGAAGGAAATACAATCTAGACAATAGAGATTCTAATCAATTAGAGAGAACACTACTAAATGCCCGAGGAATTATTAAACATATGTGCTGGGGTCACTTAGCATCTTCCAAACACAGACATGAGATTTTGCTCACTTAGTGGTTATGAAGGAATTAAAAAGGACACATACACACTTTCAGGAACAAGTCAGTCAGAAAACAAGATTGGACAATACTCAAACAGGAGAAAAAAAAAAAAAAAAAAAGGCTTCTGTAATGGGCAATCTCCAAGCCTCTTGTGGATGAGGGATGGTGGAAGAAACTCTTTTCCCATTTTGAGTTTAGGTGTGTTACTGTGATGCTGGTGGTATCACTTGTTACCAGTCTGCAGCAGAGAAAGGGATCTGGCAGCCTTCCACAGCCATTGCCACTGCTCCCAGTCAGCATTCAGTCACAGGATCGAAATGCCCAAGTCCTGTTTCTATGTATTAACCACAGCTGTGTCAGAGACACAATTCTTTATGCTCCTGGTGCACAGACAAGAAGGTCTGTGGCTGTAATTACTTTCTCAAAGTTTGAGACCAGCGCCCTTTGCCCACCATCTTTTGAAGGAAGACACGATTGCCTACAAAAGGACAGCATCTGAAGGCTGTTGCCAGAGCCAGTTACCCTTTCAATCTGGTAGATCTGGTCAGGACGTGTGGGCCAGAGCACTTGGAATCTGAGTCTGCCTGTTCAATTCCTCCCCCTCAGCCGTTCCTCCTTCTCCTGCTGCCACTTAATTCTCTTGGCTGTACTACTGCCAGATGTGGAGCAGACTGTTAGATGTAAAGCTGTTCTCTGGCACTGGCACGCTTTACCGTTCAGATGTGTCTCACTGGCATTCAAACATGTTTTGTCCCTTCTGGTCTTGGCACTCTCTTCATATAATTTAACAAATTAAGGAAAGGAAGGAAAAGTGGTAAAGATAATTGAAGGCACACAAAATTAAGAGTCTTTTTTCCCTCCTGTTAGTCTGCCTTTCAGCCAGGGTTCATGGCTTGGAGTCCTTAAAGCCCACAGCCGTGCTGCACCACTGTCTATCACCAATCCTAAAGACGTAAGCCCATCCCTTTAGACTCAAAGAAAAAACAAAATTCTTGCCTTTTAAGCCTACAAAGAATTCACATTAGGATATAATGGCATGACATACTGCTGCTGGAAATAACCCCTGGGGAAAATAAAGTACTTTTATGGAAAGTAATGCTAATCACTGGAAGATGACACATCTTTTCTGTTTTCACTCTGCCTTTGAAAGAAGATAAGTCAGGATGCAGATGTTTGGGGATGAAATCTGTGGCTGTGTACATCTACAAGGAACAGGAGGTAGAGGAACATTTCTGTTTCTGGATAGCTACATCCTCAGTGAGTGGTTGCAGGCAGAATCCCACTTCCCTCAGAGGCTGTGTTGGTTTAGGGAAAGCACACGGCTTTGGCACTTTCAGTAGTGTTCATGCATAGTCGTTTCTTTTGATTGTGCCACCTTCAATTCAGGCATTAGTCTGAAGAGCGACCCATAGATCCCAAAAGAGCAGGTGAAGTGGTAATGGCATTCAAAGGTTTTCATTCTTTTTTACACACAGAAAAGCAGTGTGGCAGCTGCAGAGGATGGAACAACGCCAGCAGATGGGAAGAAGCTGCAGGTAGGTCTAGGCAACTTAGCCAGGATAATAAGTCATATTTTGAACCCCTCCCTGTGTCAGGCTTTGAACAACAGTGTTGTCTTCTGTGTCAAGAAACCTGGACTAAATCCTATTTCATGCAAAGAACCAGCAGTTCTTGGCACAGTACTCACAGTTTGATTAAGAAGACACCTGGCTGAGTTGGGTCCTCAAAGGAATTTTAAAACAACTAAGAGACAGACTGCCCAAGTGGTAATTGACTAGCAGAGTGCTGTTAGTACTACATTTTAAACAGGGTGAAACAGACAGAGGAGAATTCAGATCATAGCTTTTCTTACCTGCTTTCATGGCTGATTTTCCTCCCAGGCTCTCAGGGCAGAGGTAGTGTCTGTTCTTCCCTATAGCAAGAGAGCCAATTGCTCTGCTCCTGATTGAATTCCTGCCACTTTGTCCTTCCTTGGCTGGCCAGTCACTGCATTCAGTGATCCATTGGCTGCACATGTACATAACAAAACAGGTGTTAGTTTCCTCATGGGGATGCTATTTGTTCCTCTGTGCATTTAACCTACCTGTACTAATTAATGTTCAGTCAAAAGCTCATTAGGACTGTAGTATTGACAGTAAAAACAGAGCTTGAGAGCCTTCAATTTAAGTTAGGACATTTGAAACCACTGTAGTGTACCTTGGAGCAGCATACAAATCTACTATTATCAATTATTACTATTAATTATGACTAAAATCACTGCATACTTCATTACAATCATAACATTGTACTGATGCTGAGTCAGTGAAAACTCACTGCATCAAAGGACAGCCTGGCCCATTATCTCAGGAGCATGTATCTTGCTATGAGCAGCTGGTACCGACAGCCATCCTGAGAACCTGCATGCAGACGGTATCTGAAATCTAAGGTGCACTGGGGAGATCAGCCTCTGTACGAATGCATCCCCTGTGCAGAGGGAACCAACAGTGAAGATGCTTGGAGGAGGAAATGGCTACTGATTGTTGCGTTGTACCTTTCCATAGCCAACAACAGTCTTACAGCGAGGCAGCAGCTCGGCCTCCCTGCACAACTCTCAAATGCGCAGCACCATCTTCCAACTCATGATCCACACACTGGACCCCCTGGCAGGAGGTGAGTGAATGCTCCACCTGTGAGGGGCTTCATCTTAGACCTCTATCACAGAGCAGCTTAATGGAGGCATGTCTTTTGCTGGTGGAAGGCAGCATCACTGAACATAGAGAGGTGGAATCAGCTTTCTATCAGGGCTTTCCATCTGACAGCCCTTCAGGAAAGGGTTGGCTCAACATATCAGCCTCATTTAAAATTGGGAAATTCACACGGGAGGAGCCCCTTACCTGTGCACTTCCTCAGCTGTACACAAGTCTCTCACAAGGCATAAACCTGAAGAAGAGGAAAAAGTAGTCAAAACCTTGAAAAATTATCTTTCGGATGGTGATTAAAATCCCAGGTGAAATTTAAAACACACAGCAGGTTCCAATTATGATGGTTAAAGTAACTTGTGTGTGACTTGGACCACTTCTGAGGACTTCTAAATGCCCACCTGCAACACCACATTGCATTATCACTGCCATAGCAAACTGTACCCTGTTTCAGAATGTGATTAAGTAGAATAGAACAGAATAGTTCAGGTGGAAGGAACCTTTAAAGATCATCTGGTCCAACTGAATAATTTCTTCAGGGCTAGCCAGAAGTCAAAGCATTTCAACGAGGGCATTGTCCAAACATCTCTTGAATGCTGACAGGCATGGGGCATTGCCCACCTCTGTAAGAAGCCTGTTCCAGTATTTGACCAAAGGTAAGTGAAAGGCATCCTTGCCCTCAGAACAGAGAATGGAACTGGGTGATCTTTAAGGTCCTTTCCAACCAATCCAAACCATCCTGTGTTGTTACTCACAGTACTTTGCAGGCAGTGGGCCAACTCCACAGGGCCTAAAGGTTGGAGCTCAGGACTATTTCACACCTTCGAAACAGTCCAGGTTGCAGGAAGCCACATCTCCACAGATGTGTGTGCCTTTGAACACAATTTTCTAATACTCTGCCTTGTTTCATTTTCCAAGAAATTCTAAAGAAAGTTTAAAAACGAAAAAAAGAAGCTTTTTTTTTTTTTTTTTTTTTTTTTTCCTTCCTAGCTCAGCACATGCCTTGCCCCTCCACTGCCCTACTTGTTCTAAAGAGATTATCATTTGTCCATTCAAAGGGAGATTGAAGCTAAGCAGATAAACACCTCTCCTGTCTATCAGTGAGGTTACAAAAAGGACTCTCCAGATCAAAATCCCAGCAGCACAAACTGATTGAGGGAACTAAAGAGGCTTTATAAGGACAACAAGACAAGTAAGTGTTCCCTTCGACAAACTTTTAGTAATAGCACCCATCAAATTACTAACCATAGCCTAACAAGAGCTAAATTCATCAGGGTTTGCTGTAGTGCTTCCTGCTCCCCACAGAATATTGTATCAACAGCACATGGATAAAACCAGAAATCTATGAGAGACGTGCCACTTGATTCAGCATCGTGCAGTGCCAGACCTGAGGGACTGCTGCCACCAAGAGAACTTCTGACTCCTCATCCTTCTTGTGCCTCTGCATGCCTTTGTACAGGCTGGTGTCCTCAGTTTTGTGTGACTCCCAGCAGGAATCCTGCTGGCCCAGGCCAAGGAGAGAACCGCAGCGCTGCCCCAGTCAGCTCAGCACAGAGCACATGGTGGGGGCTTGTCGTTACCACAGTCTATAAGAATGGATAACTGTGACTAAGGGGCGGCTGGGATGTTGTCTTTAAAGGAGAGCTTCGCCTTTGCTTTTATCCAGGCAGACTTTGAGTTCCTGTCTGTGTGCCGCAGCCACTAGATGGGAGTGTGATCTTACACACTTAGGCAAGTCTAAGGGCAACAGTGAGGATGGCTTTCAGTCTCTCCAGAAGGTTGTTATTCCTTAGACTCTTTGCTATAATAATGACGCAGAGTTAACCTCTGCTCTGGGTGCATGCCTGTTCTACTCAGCACTGCTGGAGCAGAAACAGCTCCTTGGAAAAGATAATTGTGAAGAAAATTATTGATATTACAACAGCACAGCACTTGAAATCAAAGACCCAGAGTTCCAGGTACTTTGTATTGTGCAGGAGACGCTCCTTGCCCTGGTAGATTCAGAACTAAAGAAAAGGTAGTCTGGAGAAAAAGAATCAGTTCTGACTGAGCCACTGAAGTGCTTTGAGGATCCCTGCCAAAAAGATGAAGAGATTTCCCCAAGGTAACTGAAAAGGATGTGAGCCTACCAAGGCGTTTTACAGCTGCAAACCCAGCCTTGGATTTAATATCACTGCTGCCCTTCAGTATCCTCAGGACAACTGGTTCCCACCCATAAAGTCCTTCTTTTTGCAGCACACAGCACTATCTGTAATTAGGTTGCAGCATAAAAACAACCCCAAAGAAGTCTGTATCCTGAAGGATCCTTGTTGCTTCTTGCCAAAGCCTATAGCATCATGCACTTAGAGGCTACACTAAAGAACACTACAAAAGATTGCCAACTATCTCTCAGCAGTTCCTGACTTAACCTAGTGCAGGTAGGATCTCTGGGGAGTTTCCTTCCTTATGCTGCAGTTGCCTTGTACTTCAGCTGCACAGAAGCTGTTTCAAAGCAGCCAGAGCTCTGAAGTTTGTGTCAGACTGACAGCACCAGACCTGCCAAACCAACTTGCAGAGTCGAGGATCTTAGAGATGAAGTAAAGTCCGAAATATAAACTTTGTTTCGCTGTTCCTGGTTCAACACCCCTTCTGAAACAAAATTTCTCACTTGAACAATGGATTAATTAATGTTTGATTTTTATTTATTTATTTATTTGGTATTAAGAAAGGATCATAATTTAAGTCTTTTTCTGTGTCTGGAGGAGACGAGGCACTTTAACTGACTAGGTGCTTTAGAAGTTTGAACACTTACACTGCATTCTGAAGTGTATTTTTGGCAGAAGCCCATCTTTTCAGACTACCTTTCTTAAAATGAGGAACTTCTAGCAACTTCAGACTTTTCCTCACTTTCTCAGACGCTGTGTAGAAGCACAGTATGAGGCCTTTTCAAGATCTCCCAAGCTAAACACCAGAGGGAACTGCTGAGGAGTTAAAGGCAGCAAGGATTTTTGGAAGACCAAGGAATCATTTCTGAACCCCATGTTTTACCATGAGGTTATTCTTTGCGCTCTAGTCATACAGACAGAGAACAAATCTGATTTTACTTTTATATGAAGGCAAAGGATCCAGCAGCAAGGTTATCACAGCTGCCTACCCTCACTATGTCCCAGTTAAAGAGCTATTAATTTTGGAAATCAGACCAGAATAAAGCAGCAAGCAGTGCTGCAGGCCAGAGCTCAGCTCAAAGACAGGAGGCAGTCATGCAGCCGCAGTTGCATCTTTAGCAATCAATCACTTGTGTTAAGAAGGAGAAAAGGACCAAAAATAAACATGAGATCCTTTTTTACTTGCACTTTCAGGATAGCAGATCTCTCATGTCCCTCAGGTTTAGGTCATATTTTAAAAAATCCTCCCCATTGCTCATAGTGTAAGTTAGTCCTGATGGGCTAAATACCAGAACCAAAGAATGAGCTAAATACCAGAGCTGGACCCAAGGCAGAAGCTCACCTGCAACGTCAAGCACAGCCTGGATGCAGTTGCTCCTTGGAGTAAGCTTGCCTGAGGGCCATCTCAGTGCTTCTGGATGTAGCCATGCCCTGTGCAAGGCACTCTCAGACCAGCTGGCAGAGTTTCCAGCAGAATGAATGCTTAAAAAGCAGTAAGAAAAAGACAGCAACAAAAAGACAGCTGGAGACCCACTGGTGCAGCAGCTGAGCGGACTGGGAAGCACACAGTGCAAACTTCATGGAACTCAAAGAGACATCCCCCTGTGCAAGTTCCTGGAAGCTGACAATATCCAGTGTTGAAGTCAAGCCAAGTGACTGCACTGACACACACACAGCCCACAGGACCACGGGTACTGCCCTCAAAAACAAGTGCTTGGCCACGACAGGACCCATGGTTGTTGCAGTAGCATGCTGCCCTGCTCGGCTGAGCTAATCCCCAACACTGGCAGGAGCTGAGCTGACAGCTACCCCTCTGCCAAGCTGACCTGCAGATCTGGCGGCTTACAGCCATCTCTTCCTCCAGTTTCAATACATCCTGCACAGAATGTGTGTCAGAGGCATTAACACCTTTTTAAATGAGGCTGATCTGATGAGAACTGGATAGCGCCCTGGGCCTAAGCTGTTTATCCCTAACATGGAGGGTCACAGGCTCTGCTTGGGTCGGTGCTCACAGTCTGTGCCCAGGTGAGGGCAGGAACCAGCAGCTGGGGTTTGTGTAATCTCCTGCAGGCTGGGCCTGACCGCTCTGACCTTGACAGGAGCTTTTGTGGCAGCTTCTAGGAAAAGCTGAATAGAGGAGTGGGGGCCAGCGGTTCAAGGACTCTGCGAGCAGAAAGTCACCTCACTGCCTTGTATAGGTGAGAGTGCTCGTGCTTAGCAGAAGTAGGAGGGGGAAAACAAAGCTTCATATCCCCTCTATAGGTTTCAGGAGTAGCAAGTGGAAGGGAGAGCTGAGCTCCTCAGTCCCAGCAGCTTTTCCTAGGAGGAGAGCTTATCATTTCCCCCTTCTAGCCATTCACCTGCTGAAAAATGCTTCTCAGATGATAATGGGAATCGCACCAGACTAGGACTCATCTCCAGAGATCTTAATGTCAGAGCCAGGGACAATTATTGGACATGTCTGAAATCCACTGTTTTTCCACAAAGTTCAGCTCAGAACTTGACCTGCCCACATGGCTTAGAGCTGCTATTTCTATCAGCTCCATCTCACAGTGGTGAATAAAGTGACAGAGCCATGCCCTTGAGGCAAGCAACAACAGCACATTCTGGTTGCCCAGTCAACAGTGCAGGAGATTAAGTCAATGCAATAAAACTTCCAGAGGAAATTAATTTACAGCCCCATGCACAAGTGAGGCAGAACACAGCCGATTTCTGGTGGCCACATCCATACACAAAACCTGTGACCATCTGCTTCCATCTGCTTGGTCACCGGGCAGGCAGCTGAGAAGAGAATAAAGCTCAGAGCAAAGCAAAGCTTTCCTCTGAGCTGGGGACTGGCTCATTTTCAGCAAGAATAGGAATTAAGACACTTGAGTGCAACATCAAACTATAGAGACAGAATCACAGATTCACAGAATTGTAGAAGGAACCTGTAGAAAACATCGAGTCCAACTCCTCTGCAAAGCAGGCTCCCTACAGCAGGCTGCACAGGTAAACACAGAGACAGTTTCAGAGTTCCTTGTAAAACTATAATAAAGCAGCTCAGCTGAGAGCAACATTGGCTGCAGCAGGAAAAGTCCTCATCAGGGCCAGAAATACAGAGTGGGACACAGCACCGGTGAAGACGACCATTCAGTCGGTCCTTTTCAGGATAGCCTGGACTGCCTTGAAACCGGATACCATAAACTTAGATTAAGTTCTGGAGAGTCTCACTGGCAGGGATGACATTCACATATACTTTGAAATATCATGAAGAAGATAGAAGGTTTTCCATTTTCCTCACAATCAGGTCATCAGCAGCAGCACAGTAAAGCCATGTGGCACAAAGAAGGTATCCATTTTTAGTTTGCACGTAATCTAGCATGAACAAAATCAGCTGCCCTTTGGGAACAAAATGATATTGCATCAAAACTGCTCCTGTTCTCCCATAGCTGACAATGCAACTTTCTCATTCACAGCAAAATTTAAAGACAGGGTTGAAATCCTGAGTAATATAGCCAAGGTCAAGACTGACTCTCAGGCTGGGCAAGGAACAAAACCAGAAGGTGAGTGCAAGAAAAGTCAATATCATTTGCTTTGTTTTGCAGTGAAATCCCACGCATTCACAGCATTGAGCACCCAGGGGCTGGCAAAGAAATACTACAGTATGACACAGATTTTTCTGTTATTGCTGGTCACAGGTGGCTGCTGCAATAATGCAGCAGAAATCAATCAATATACAATAACAGTGGGCAGTAAAAGCCATTCCTACAGGACAAGTAGCTCTTGGGGTAGGATTCAAACAGAAAGTACTTGGAAGTTGCTGTGCTGCTCATCTTTGGTAGATGTGTTCTTTAAACCAAAGTACTTTCCTTTTAGCCTAGAAATTTGGCACAGCTGCAGAACAGTACAGAAGATTCCTCCTCAGAGAAAAGCCACACTGATATTCTCTAAAACCACCCTTAGTGCCTGTACATCCTCCCTTTGAATAGTTCTTACTATTTCACTGCTGATAGACAGACTTTGAGTAGTCTGGAGGCAGCAGCTGGCCTATGCTACACCACAGACCAGTGCTGTTGGTGATTTGGAAAAAGCAAAAGCAAACAATAACGGTTATGTGGAAGGTCCCACCTCCACAAGCACACTGCTGCAATGAGTCACCTGCGTACCTAACAACACTGAGCATCACCCATGAGAGTGAAAACAAACTTGAAGAAAATATTAAGAAACAAATTGTCATGCAGACTACTGACACCACATTGACTTCATTGACCATGAACTTCCATTCTTTGACACCTTCCACAGAACTATCTGGCGCACGGACAGGGCTGTGCATCATCAATAGGTGCTGCCACTTTGGCTGAAAGTATTCCATGTCTACTCTTGTAAGACCTTGCTCCAGAAATCCCAAACACACATGAAAAAACGTTTCTGAAAAACTCCCTCTAAACTTGCTCCTTACTGGAGTTGTGAGAGACACTGGATCAACTTACCCAGCTCAGCATAAAATATCCTGTAATTCCCCAACCAGGTAGAATTCTGAGGATAATGTGATTAACACAGCTTAACATGAGAACAGCACAGAGAACATTGCAGATTTTTTCCTGTATGCATCAGTACTTCTCTATTTGCATTTGAGTATGTATCAGATGACTGGGGATTAACGTCTGGTAGCACATAGCTGTCGTTTCTCAGAAGCCTCAAAGTGTTCCCTGGAGAGGGCTGTGCTTTACTAGAAACAAAGGGGAGTAAAGCTTTATATCCTTCTGGCTTTAGAGAACAGCTCTACTAAAGGCTTCAGAATCCAGACCGAAGCCAATAACAACCAGGCAGAGATCAGATAATTAGCATTCCCCTGTTACTGCATATGTGCCTCTTAGAGCAGTTTCAGAGCAATACCTTGATGCTCCTAAGACCACCGGCAGCAGGTGGACCAGCTTCTACCTCCTTTTAAGAACAGTGATTCACAATAGGCAAGGATGACAAACAGAAAGCATCAGCCATTGGCCTAGGCTTAACATGAAGTATTTCATGTTTCTGGCACAAACTAACTCACCCGCAGATAAAGGTGATCATGCTAACATGACTAAAATCACTGCCCCTTCTTACTCCTTTTTGCAGAAGAGAAGCAGGCACCACAGAAGCCCATCCAGGTAACTCCTGCCAGTGACTCTGAACCCAGCAAAGACAAACAGAAGGAGAACACACCACAGGATGGGCAGGTATTAAATAATGGATCATAGGCAATAAGAGCTCAGGGCTTCTGGGGTAAAACCCAGCATGTTTCTCATAATTAGCAACTTTAAGTAGACTGTGTGTGTAGTGATGAAGTAACATAAGGAGTTGTTTTAGAGGTTCAGGCTTATGACCGAAGACAACCTTGGCCTAAAACATGACACCAGCTGTTCCTGTATAATATTTTCTCCTCAGTTGACTCCAATGAGGTCAGAAGGCAACTCCAGGACAAGGGAAAGCGAGTCAGTCTGGTCATCAGCATGTTTTTGTGCTTTATTTCCCTCATCCCCCCTTCCAATTCTGTAATGTGGTTGTTTTGATGAGGAAAGGTTGTCAAAGACAGCCAATCTTCTACTAGTGTTAAAACTTTAAGAGTTCATTCTAGTTGACTTATACAAAATAGTTAACAGGATCACAAGACAGGCACCTGCACCAAAATAGGGTAGACCTGGATTTTGTGCCAGAGTAACAAGATGCGGGCTCTGGCTGCCCTCAGCCACAGTATGGTCATGGGGAATAAGTGCTGCACAGCTCCTTGTGAGAGTGAAGCATATTGCTTTTTTTTTTCCCTGACCTACAGCCCCCTTCAGACAGTGATAACTCAGAAGACAGCAGCTCTGACAGTGAGGATGACAGTGATGATGACAGCACAGATGATGAAGAAAACGATGAACCATTATCTCTTGAATGGCCAGAAACCAGGAAAAAACAAGCAATTTACCTCTTCCTCTTTCCCATTGTCTTCCCTCTGTGGAGCACGATACCTGATGTCAGAAACCCAGTAAGAATCCATTTTTCTTCTGCTACCATATTTGTATCTTTAGCTCATATTTGAGCTAAAGACTACTTAGCAAGAATCCCCCATTCTGTTTTTCCACGTCAAGAGTCTTATACATTAATCACTGTTAATGCTGCAGAGAGTAGAAAAGCCCCAGCTGTAGCATAGTTCCACTTAATTAAAGTAATTAACAACTAGCAACAGTTGGTCATCTAATAAAGTTGTCAAAAAACCCACAAAGACCAAGTTCTATATCAAACAGTTGATTACAGCACTCCATGTGAACAGTTTTCACCGAGGATTGTTAACCTTCCTGAAACTTCATGTTTTTATTTTCAAACTTGATTTTAACAGGATTCAAAAAAATTCTTTGTCATCACATTTTTCGGGTCCATCATCTGGATTGCAGCATTCTCTTACCTCATGGTGTGGTGGGCTCATCAGGTGAGGGATTTCTTTTCTGTCTGCAAACAAGATCATTTCAGAACAAGTAGATGTTAAGACAAGGAGCGGATTGTCGCTGGGGCATTTTACCTGATGAATTGCAGCTGCAGTCATTCATCAAAACAGTAGAAACTTTTTGTTAGAATCCAAAAGGGAATTCTCAGTTTCACTCTTTTTGATTTGACAAAAGGTTTTCTTCGAAAAACTTCTAAGGGAAGTTGCACATCAGTGAAAGGAAAAGTGCCATCAAAATTTACCTTAATACTTTTAATTGATAAATGAATCTGTGTGGAACAAAATTACCCCTTATCTAATTACAGTTCCAGGATAACACAGGTTCTAGAAGCTGTGAAGTAATTTCAACTCCAACTGCCTTAATATGCACTTGGAGCCCCGGCAATAGAAGTTTGTGCCTTGTAGATTCAGACCCACACTTCGTATCAAGTAGCTCATTGCACATCCACAACATAGTTAATTGCTAAGATTTTCCATGCAGAGCTGATGTTAAATTTGCAAAAGGAAAAATGAAATACATGCAGAAGAGGCAAACGTAGGACACAAGAACGTGTTAGGCTGTAACTGACTTCACCTTGCTTGGCCTTGGTAAAACTGTGATCAGATGATCACTGTGACGTATAGTACGGAACAAATCTGAGGCTAACAAACTAACTTAACTAACTTAAATGTAGTTTTTCATCCTACACAACATGCTACCACAAATGAAAAGGGCTAAGGGAATGAAAAATATTTTAATTCAAATATGGCACAAAACCTAGAAGGCAGTGAGACTACATTCTGTGCTCCAAAATGAACAGCCCTAATTTACTCTGTTGCTGTTCTATTAGGTTGGTGAAACAATTGGGATATCAGAGGAAATTATGGGGTTAACCATACTGGCAGCAGGAACGTCGATCCCTGACCTTATCACCAGTGTCATTGTTGCACGGAAAGGCTTAGGTGACATGGCTGTCTCCAGTTCTGTAGGCAGCAATATCTTCGATATCACTGTTGGGTGAGTATTAGTTCCATGCTGAAAGATGCAGTTCTTCCAAAAGACAAAACACGGTTTTTAAACTGAAGAAATGTTTCAGTTAATTTCATTTCATCTGCACCTAACTGAAGGACAGTCAGACCACCAGTTACACAGATTTCTCTTTAGAAAATTTAACCAAACCAGGAAAGATAGATTTTAGCAACCCAGTGCAGAATGAATATGAAGTTGCACCTCATTCAAGGCATTGTTCTGCAGCTTAAAATAACAGTGCACAGTATGAAACGGCACTATCGTCTTCCCTAAGTTCTGAGTCAACAGGAAACTGATTTTCTGGGACAAAATACTATTCCTCTTAGGCCAACACTGAAGATTTACAGGCTGAATACTCATCTGGTCACTCAGAGGCATTCAGATTCTCTGCAGCCAAGGCTCTGTATCTGCACCTGTATCTTTTATCAATAAAGCATCAGAACCTTCTCCTTTACGAGAGCATGCTGAGACACTTAATTCACAGTTATTATTTTGAAAACCCTTTTAGACTATTGTATCACATTATGATAGTACAAGCATTATCCAAATGCAATTTTTCCACACCAACAACATCAATTTTAGATTTATGCTGAGTTACACTGAATGCAGCTATGCATTTTTTCCTGTAAGAGTTTAGAAAAATTGCTTACTTATAATGCAGAAAATGAACTGCCTTCAAGCATATTTCAATTACTTTTCCTTTTCTTGCAGTTTGCCAGTTCCTTGGTTTCTATATTCAGTCTTCAACGGATTCAGTCCTGTTGCAGTCAGTAGTAATGGTTTGTTTTGTGCTATCGTTCTGCTTTTTCTCATGCTTCTATTTGTTATCATCTCAATTGCTTTATGTAAATGGAAAATGAACAAAATACTAGGGCTCACTATGTTTGCTCTCTACTTTGTATTTTTGATCATCAGTGTGATGTTAGAAGACAGGATAATATCATGCCCCGTATCTGTGTGACATCTGGGTGCTCCAACGTGTGTTAAGGCATACATCTAAAAATCAAAAGCAGTTCAAGGTAGCTGTTGTTCTGATCAATCAGAGCAACCCAAGTTATATCCCACTTCCTGAGATTAAATTATCTTTGACATACTTAAAATAAAATAAAATAATCTTGAGTGGTTTGTCTGCTTCTACTGTTGCCGTTTTTCCTCAGGAAAAGAAAAAGACCAGGCACTGAAGGGGCCAGTACCAAATACTGTGCACCTTCAGGCATTCCTGTAATGGTATGATACAGATACATTAGGTGTTCAGTGTGGCTGAGCTTATGTTAATGGAACTGATTTTAAGCATAGAACCTTTATATACATTTTAGTAATACTTTCAGGATCACACAGATTTATGCAATCAACTGCTCAAACTCACTGAGATCAATGATCTTTAGTTGGTGGGAACAGAATCACACCTTCATGGCTTGCCCTTACAGAACTGTTCTGCTCCAAAAGATCTGTATGGACACATTCTCCATCTCAGAAGTGAATTCCCTCAAATTGTATAAAAGCAGTAAGTGCTTCAGAGCACAACAGTTCCTGAGGCTTGTAGCTACTTTGTCATTACTTCCTTCTGCAGAGGTCATTTTCATCCTTTCAGTGAAAGCCACAATAAAGCATCTGATAAAACAACTGAGACTCTACACATACATCTGAGACAGTGAATACAAAACATGTGATGCACACCTGAAGGGGTCCTTCTTGCTGGTCCTCTTAAGACTACTGGAGACATAACACTGAGCCTTTCAAGGAACAAGCAAAGCAGTAAAAGCTATTTCAGCATGCAGATGACAACAGGATTTGAGAGTTGCACAGCAATCCTAAAAGAAGGCATACAGATAGAGTTCAAATTGTGATCTCATGCAGTATCATCAGTAAGCACAACTAATGCTAGCATATTACATGGATTGACATGTAAAGAGAACGAGTGGATCTCCCTTAGAATAGTGCCACTTGTAAAAGCTAAACCAGAAACCAGACATGCTACAAGAGGGAGGTAAAGAAGAGTTGACTCGTCTCTGAAGCTTGCACACCACTCTTCCCAGCACTAACTCTTGCTGTTAGCACTGTCTTCTAGATGGTCACTATGGAAAATGCCACATCAACAATCAACAAACCCGAAATGTTTATTGTTAAAAACGCCTCCTGCGAGCAAAGAATGTAGCTGAGCTGCAGACACTTCTGTCATTCTAATCCAGCTAATAAAATGTTAATGAAAATAACCAGAAAGATTTTAAGGTTTTTATTGACTCACTGTAAAACTCTTTTGGATGAGACAAAAAAATTTTGACGTTGTGAACACTGACTTGCATATTTTAAAGGAACTACAAACCGAAGCAAACGTACAACATACTGTATTTTTGGTAAATAAAAATTAAACATTACATATTTACAAATCTACAACCATTCATTTAAAAGTGCTGCTTGCAGACTAACAAAGTACCATTTTCAAATTGCAGTGAAATACTATCCAGAAATCCCCTTCTCTATTATTACTACTTGCATCTCCCATTTTGCATATGAAGATTTCATATGCAGGAATTGCCTCTTCCTTGGGGTACAAATTGCTTAACTGGTCAGTGGAAGTCTAATCCATCAGGCTGTAAGTGTGCCAACAGCAAACTGCCTCAAAATGGGAACCAGCAGTGTCAGAGGAACAGCACCATTTCTATTCACATTTCACTATTTCATCTCCAATACTTATTCCAGTGGAACCATAAGTAAAGCAAAATACATATTGCACTGCAAATGTAAAACCTTTGTTTAAGGTTCTGACAGAAGCATTATTTTGTACACAAAAGGAGAAAATTCAGTTCATACAAAATTTTAAATTGAAAATATGTCTCAAATATTTATCCATCTTTGCTGTATTGGAAAATATACTCAAATTGCTTTTCTAATAAAGGACAGTGAGATTTGTAAACTGTTTCAATGTTGAACTGTACGAGGCCTAAAAATTATCCACTCATGGCCTGCATTTTGAACATCATTATGACATGAACGAGGATAACTTCCCCCTTAGGGTGTAATACTACTCCAGCTACATCTTCTGATAATGTTTCTACAGTGGACTGACTTGCAACAGACTTTATAAAGCAATTCATTCAGTATAATGATTTCACTTGATGGAACATTACACGATATGCTAATTTAAAAGCACACCCAAATAAAGCAATGCTTTGGGAGTGCCACTCTGAGGATGCAAGATTGTTCTAATGACGCACATACAAGTCCTCTTCACGATACAGTATAGACTCTTCTGATAATACTGACAGGACTGCTGACATCTGAATGAAGTGGCAAACTGGTTGGCTTTATAAACCTTAAAGACTGTTGGAAATACTTAAAACTAAGCTGGGACTAAAGGGAAGATGTGGGCCAAATTACAAGTGCTGCATCTATCCCTGCGCAGGCACACGCAGCGCAACGTCCTGTGACACGAGGGGCTGTTAGAGACAAGGCTCAGCTGCTCCTGCCAGACTGAAATAGAAAGTGTGAAGCTTGCTTCATAGCTCAGTACCTCTAACACAAAACAGCAGCTCTGGAAAAAGCACTTGCCTTCCTTCATGGCTTGAAGGTCCTACAAAACAGTGGCCGCCCCAGGTGGTGAATGATGTGGGAAACAGAACTGCAAAGAGCTTGGAGCACTACGCTGTACACATCACAGATAGGTATGAATCTATATACACTACTTTTACTTGGTAAATACAGTGTAGATACTGTACAGAGCAGAGCATACATGCACACTAACAGGTACTTATGATGAATATGTTATAAAATAATCTGCTATTTTTCACAATAGTTAAGAAGAATGAAGTAGGTACATGTTCACCCTACACTGACAGAGTTTAAAGTGTACTTGGGTGAAAGAGTAGCAATGGCTCACGCATGAGGAATATTTTACAAGTGTGACAGCATGAATGAGAGCTTCACAAAGTGTTAAAATAAATTAAACATGAAAAATGTTGCTAAGTGTAACATTGCTAGCTCCACATCAGGGTGAGGGAAACTTCAAAACCCAAAACCCTCAGCTACACAGTTAGCAGCAGAACAGACAAGAGGAATTACCCAGTGACAGTTGTATCCAGCAAGATCGTGTTTACATGAAGATGCATCTTGCAATTAGCATC